AAGGGTAGTGCATCCTGCCCTTGATTTTCACATGACTTTCCTCAGTTTACTACCGTTACAAAGCAAGGACAAGCAATGAGCCTCTGGTTTGTGTTTGGACTTATTTCCCATTTTTGCCTCTGCCATTTCCATTTTTCATTGTGTCATGACACCTTTCTGAGCAAACCTGATAGACATCGCTGGTTGTGTGTCAGCGTGCAGGAGGAAGAGCTCTGAGGTCTGGTGAGGAGTCCTGGCTGGATCTGGTTTCTCCTCAGGGCTGTCCATGTGGCTCGGCTGGTAGTTCCAGCTGATTTGGTGTTGTGGTGTGAGTACAATCACCCACTTTGCTTAATCTATGCACAGAGGGTGCTGCAGCTCAGTCCCACGCTCTGCCTGTCTTCTGGCACAGGATCCTGCTTTGTCTGCAGCTCTGACCTGCAATAACATGTGCATTCCTGAGGTGTAGAAGGGGAGCTTGGAGCACCCTCTGCTTGAAATGCCAGCCCTGTCTCTGGTGGGAATCACAGGTGTGCAAGGTATCTGTGGGCATCCCCACCACCTCTTCCCTCCCTGTCATCACAGTGGATAATTTGTTTCCTGTCAGCATCCCAAAACACACCAAAAGATGGAAGCTCTGCATCTTGTATCTTACCTCTTCAGGCAACCTCTTATGTGTTTTAATGAATGTGTCCTTGTTTTGTGCTGTCTTTCATTTGTAGTGCCAGTCTTTTTGATCCCACAGATAATTAGGAGAAAATGGCCCATAAAGGAAATTTTTCACAAACTCCAGGATAACAAACACCCTTTGACATTGAAAAAAGGGTAAAAAACCCACTGGCTGCAGAATTAGGGATGTTTGCGTACTTAAAATTTAGAGAAATGTGTTTTATTTTCTTTGTATTTAGTGGTCTGACATGAGTTCAAGTGAGCCATTGTCTTTTTCCTCCGATCAGAAAATGAGAACAGAGACCGAATTCCCACTTCAGCAGATGTTTATCTCTGTTCTTAACCGGTGTGGCTATATAATGATTTTTTGTGATGATCTGAGAGATCTTGTAAGATTAGAACTATTAAGAGCAAGTGTTCAGCTCTTCAGCTCTTTGCAGAGACAAGGTTGAAGAGAGGGCTCAAAGAGTACGGGACTCAAGGAATGGAAAGGTGATGAGAATCCGGAATTGGGAAAGGGCTGCTTGATTCACTTGGGAGCTGCTTTTTAGTTGTTTTTATGGTTGAGGGTAGGTGGAGACGCTGGAAATCTTATTTGTGCTTTTGCAGATTTTCAGATTTCTTCCAGAGGGAATGAAAGGCAGAATCTTATGTAGGAATTTCCTGAAAATGTATTGGTTTGTATTATGAAACATGCAGAATTTCTGGTTTTGTTGAGTTTCTCATAAGAAGCAAGAGTTATAAAAAAAAAACTTCCAGTTTTTTTTCAGTATTTTGCTGCTTATCTTGCTGCCTTTCATAACCCAAATCCCATTTATTTAGCCTGTGTGTTATTTTGTTTTACCTAACACTCCATATTATGAACCATTATACTGTTAACACTTGCAGAGTCGTTTTATATAATGGGGGTTGGTTATTACTGAAATAGATAGGAGTTTCTTTACATTGTCAGCATTGAGTTGCCTGGAAACTTCTTGGGATTTGAGGGTTTTTGGGCTTTTTAACAGCACATGAAAAAAACATACTCAGTTACAAGCGTCTGTGAAGGTCTGCTGGCCATGCAGGGACACTCCCAGACCATTTAAGCCAAACACAGACTTTACCAAAGTTAGAAACCTCTTGTTGCTAAAGGTCCAGAACAATTCCTTGTTGAGATGAGAATGACACAGTCAGGCAGGCTAATTTGATCTGCAAGAATAAGGATAAGAACTCTGTTGGTGTAGCAAATCTGTTCTTATTACTAAAAATTGATTTTGACCTTTGTAGAGATAGTAATTTCACCTCCTGTTAAAAGAAAATTTTGGATGATTGCTCCACGTCTGGCATACAAGACTTGAAAAATTCATCAGCCATCTTGATTTGTTTTGACGTGTTTTTTGGCCTTCTACTGAGTTTTGTATTTCTGTTTTTCCTAAGTATTTGCTTGCAGGCAATGTTGTTTGTTTTTCTTGCATCCTCACTGTCTTGGCAGTTGAGTAGCATTGCCCACAGGTCCCAACATTGTTCTTCATTCCTATATAGCAGGACTCAAATAATAAAAATAAGACAACAATCATAAATGAGATTCCAATAATACAAATGCCTTTCCAATTCTGTAATCTATAGGGCTTCCTTGCTGCTTTCTTTCATAGGACTTTGTTTTTTTCTGATTTTTATTAATTCTTAAGTTAGAATATTTTCTTAAGCTACCACACTTATTTAGGCTACTTCAGTACCTTTGGCTCCTGTCATTAGGATGGTTTAGTGACAGTCTAGAAAATCATTCCCGTGACTTTGACAAAAAAGTCTTTATAGAAACCTTAATGCTCATAAACAAACTTATATTCAGAGTCATTTCAGGCAGAAGAATGATCCACCCTCCAACCCATATGTAAGGGTTAAGCAAAACGTCTGTACTATGCTCAGTTGTCCCACATCAGAGAATAGGTCCAGGTAGGTTTTCTGGGGGAAATTTCTTCTGTTGATGCTGTATATCAAGGACTGTAGCAAAATCTCTTTGAATTACCGTATGAGGCAGACATTCAACTGTGTGTTTCAGGCGATTCTCGTCAAGAGCCACTAAACAGATAGGGAGAATTAATGCAGAATTCAGACCAGAACTAATTAATTTAATTGAAAAATTAGGAATCACTGTCCTGTTGAGTGGGTATCAGTTAAAAGATAATGCTCCTGTATGCAGATTGCCTTGCCCAGGTTTTTTATAGTGAAGAATCAAACAGATTTTCTCTAAAATCTTTATTTCTTCTGAGTGTGTTTGCTGAGTAGTACCCCTCACCAAAAAATGTGGATTGATTTTATTCCATTATTTGTTTAATTTTTCTTAAATAAACTCTGGATCCAGAATTAAGGAAAAAAGATATCTGATCTGCCTAGTTGTAGGAACTGGTTTGGTTTGCAGAGATATTTGGAAAAGGAAAGAAGAGAGTAACAGAATTTAGTCCAGTGGATACCCAAAGCCATCTGTTCCTCTCCTCGCAGCCCTTAGATGTTTATAGCACAACAGAGTGGACATGGAATGTCTGTTCTTCCTTCAGGACTATATTGGCTGTCCTTAAAGTGAGAACAAAATGAAGGCAAGACATGTGGGCAGCCACAAAGTTCCATTGGTTTGCAGCCTGGTTTACATAATCAGTCCATCCCAAAAAGCTTGGCCGTCCCTACCCCTCCTGGAAAGCCGTCATGGGGTGATGCTGGGCTGCTGTCACAGACTGCAGCTAAGGAACTTGGGATCCTTCAGGGGCAGGATTACAGTTTCTCAGGACTGGCTTAACCCAGGAGCCTGTATCTCTGTGGTTGGACAGAGCCCAAAGAGGCAGTACAAAAGTAATAAATTTTTAATACCTGGAAGACTGAAAGCTTAATGAATAAATAATAAGTTGCAGCACTTTCTTTTTCTTAGAAAAAGTTGACTGGCTGTATTTTCTAAAATTTTCCTTCATTTAGCATTTTTTCTCCTGTTGCTCTTTTAAAGTATCCTAAGGTGCTGAAATTTGGTACTGATTTTACAGGAACTAAGGAAGTTATACCACTGCCATCCAGGCTGAAAAAAGGAGAATAGAGATTTTTCTGAAGAGAAATTTTGTTGATTTTTCTAGTGGGTACGGAGGATCTGGAACAGCTGAGTGACTGCTCCACTCCTTCCAACATCATCTCCCTAGTAATGTAGCAAGGGAGATCCTGCTACGTGCCTGCAGAGACAGGGGCACACAAACAGGTATAGCAGTGTTCTTGTCATCAGGTTAACAAAACTTGAGTGTCTCCCTGGTCTCACACCTGTGTTTTGCTGGCAGCATAAGCCAGTGAAAGCTTTTTAAACAAGCACAGATAGCTTGCAGATTAAAAGAATAGTGGAGTGGGATTTTATCACTGGCCACCACCACTCTGCTGACATGGATCCCATCTTTGATCTGTGGCAGTGTCCAGGCTAAGCCCTTTGGAAAGCCAGCAAACACATTTGGAGATCACCTCCACTTTGAAGGGAAGGTTTCTCTGCAGTCCTGGCATGATTCCAACCTGGATTACTCTGTTCTACCTGGTTAAAATCCCTCCCCGACATTTCCCTGGGTATGTGATTAACCCCTCCTGAGGTTCTGCAATGTTCCCCTTTCAATTTCATATCGCCTACCTGTAAGTTGATTTCGAGGTCATCTCTGCCCCCATTTGTTAGTCCAGCTGGCTTCCTTGTAATTATTTCAAAGGATCTCAATGTGGCAGCAGTAAGTATGTGCACAGCCCTGGTGTGCAGTACCTTCTCTTGGTTTCTCTCGGCATCACCCAGCAGGTTGTGATCCCTCCATATTCCTTTTACCAGTGAGGTTTCGGTTCATCTGCATTAGTCTGAGTTGACCTGTTGCCCCCTGTGACCATGTCCTTGTTGGTAGTGGAACTAGAAAGGCTATCCTTGAGAAGAAGGAGGAACTGGTGCTCACTGAAGATGTGGAATCCATGCAAACCTAGGGATCTGTTCTGCACATTTCCTTCCACAGGTGGCTTGCTGGGAATATTATCACAGGGATTTTATTTTGTGACTCAAACTTCCATGCAAAGTCTATACATCTTCTTTCGTTTCATAGTTCTTTTTTTTTTTCTTCCTCTTGGCATGTCAGTGTTTTCATTAATGTATCAACAGCACAGCAGCTGTTGCTTTGTCCCTAGTATTGTTTTCTCCATCCTGACCTGAGAATTGGAAGGTCCTTGAAATCTGTGTCTTTTTTGTGACTCTCAGGCAGAATTGGGTGCTTCACTTCACCCTCTGCCTGAAAGTATTTCTCTTCACACTGTAAAATCAATTAGTTATGGGCTCTTTTTCTTAAATCTTACTGCTGCTAACACTGTGTTTGTTTCATTAACAGATTAATTCACAGCAAATCTGTCGTCGACAGCCTGCCCAGCGAGAAAACTCAAGGAGAAGCTGAGAACAAACAACATCTTGAAGACAGTCCATGGGGACTGTACCAGATCCTCTGAGATCTGCCAAGCTGTCCCTGGTCTCACCTTCTGCAGAGGAGGAGCAGCTGGGAGACCTGCAGCCTGCTAAGCACCAGCCCCAAGCCCCCAGTGGCGAGAGGGCCAGCAATGGCTTCCCGTGCGCACCCTCCAGCTCAGCCGGGCTTTGCTTCTTCGACCTGACCTGCACAGCTGCTGCCAGCACGCAGAGGTGTGAGCAGTGCCACACAGATGATGACAGCCAGCAGGAAGCCTTTTCTCCCAGGCTGGCCAGCACAACTGCAGAGGGGCATCCTGCAGATGTAAAGCCTGCGGGTTGTTCCCAGCCAGCGGGCATCCCGTCACCGGCAGTGCCAGCCCTTGCTGCCGCAGGAGCCCTCTCAGTGGGGCAGGGGCCAGAGATGATGCCAGCCCCCCAGAGCGCCCGGCAGTTTGTGCAAGGCAGCCAGGCCAAAACGAGCTCCCTGACACAGATAGATGACTCTGCCTTGAAACCTCAAGGAACTGATGATCAGCCAGCGCTTGAAGTGTTAAATTATTCTTCCCCGGGTGATCCTGTTGGGGTTAATCAATTCTGTCATACTTCTCAGGCAAACCTTCTGCAAAGAGGGGAAAAAGACAGAGAGGCAGAGAAAAATGGTTCTGCTGTGTGTCAGTCAGCCCTGGCAGCAGGGCAAACCGAAGCTGACCCAGGGAGAGACTCGCAGACCAGTCTGGAGGCAAAAGACGGGACTGCACACACGCCGCAGTTGCATCCCCCAGATAAAACTGAAGCGGTGCAGAGCAGCGAGGCACCAGCCCAGTCTGGCCACGGGAGTCCCCGTCCTGTACGTAACCTGGGCCCCACTCCTGGGAGTCCAAACCCCACCCAGCACTCCAAATTTAGAGAAACAGGTACAATGACAGCTCAGCCAGAGAGCAGCCCTTTTACTCAGGAAGCTGTAAGCAGGACATGGCGGGATGCTGAGGTTCAGGCTGTGGCTACTGTGGAGAGCAAATCAGCTTCCACCAGTCCCAGCATCTTTGCTTCCTTCTTAAAAGGGAATTCTCCTCCAGAGGAGAAGGAAGAACTGCACATAATTTACCAAGGAGGTATGGGGCTGAGCCAGGCTGCACTTGCTGACAGTTTATCCTCACAACAAAAGTTTCCATGTTCTCCTGGTATCACATCAAAATCGACTGTTGTGGCTGTGACTGCTTCAGCCCAAACCCAGCCTGTCAAACTGCCTGGGGTCCCACCTGATGTGGCATCTCCAGTATCAGCAGATAATGCAAAATCTGTTCTCCCCTGCTCCCCTGCAGCTGTTACCTCTCAAGGAACATCTGTGGGTAATGCTGAAATGAGCAGTGCAGCCCGTGATATCAAGGACGCTGCTCAGCTGCCAAAGGATGCTCCAGTCCAACAAAAGCCCATCCCAGCTGAGCAGCTTGGAGTTGACTCCAGTAATCAAACTCCATCACAGTCTGGGACTGGTGCTGGTAAGCCAAGCACCACTTCCAGTGATGCTGTCCCAGGAACCCAGGACAACGTGCGAGATCTCATCCCTCATGCAGGAAGCAGCCGGTCACCTTTACTCTCTGGCAAGGACAGTGAAGCCAGGCAGAAGGAGGTCCTGGGCAGCTCTGAACAAAAGCCTGTGCAAAGCAAGGATGGGAGTCAAGGGCAGGCCAGTCCTAATCAATCTGTGGTCAAACCAAGGGAAGAAAACTTGGTGGTGCTTGATCCTAAAGGAGGGCTGAACGTTAGCAGCCAGCCTGCCGCCGTCCGTGCAAAGGCGTGCCCACAGGAGGCAGGTGAGAAGGAGAGCAGAGGCCATGGAGACAGCGGCCAGTCTCAGGAGGCTGGTGGCCAGAACCTGCAGGCAGGACCGACGCCCAAGCTGAGTGTGAGTCCTGCAAGTCTCGCCCCTCCTGTGGCAGCATCGGCAGCTCCCCAGCAGCAGGGCCTCCAGGCCAGGCAGTCCGGACACGATCTCCACACTGCAGTCATTCCTGCTTCCTCTCAGGCTGTGCCAAACCTGGGGGAGAACAAAAAGCATTCCACCCCAGCCATGGAGGCGAAAGTACAGGTGAAGCAGTCCAAACATGTCAGGGATGTTGTTTGGGATGAGCAAGGAATGACGTGGGAGGTTTATGGTGCTTCCCTTGATCCAGAATCCTTGGGAATTGCCATCCAGAACCACTTACAGAGACAAATACGGGAACACGAGAAACTGATCCGGGCCCAGAACAGTCAGACCCGGAAATCCATTTCCTCAGATACATCCTCAAATAAAAAACTAAAAGGGAGGCAGCACAACATGTTCCAGTCCATGCTGCAGAATTTCAGGCGTCCTAATTGCTGTGTCCGACCTGCTCCTTCTTCTGTGCTGGACTGACATGGTTTGCAGGGGTGCCTAAATACCTGTGGTGGTGGAGAGAATCCCTCCCCTCAAGTCCTGCTGTTTGGTTGTGTAACTGGGGTTGTGATGCAACAGTGGAAAATTATTTCCCTTTGTTTTCTGACTAGCCACATGCTCCATCCTGCCATTATTATTGTCACAGCTGGTGTATTTCCACGTTATGCCCCAACCTTGACTGCTGTCAGATGAAAAGTTAGGCACTTAGCAAAAGCACAAATTTCAATTGCCGCCTTACTGCAGGGAGAGCAGCACCTTCTGATAAAGCAGGAAGTGGAGGGATTGTCAGAATTATGGGAATTAATTTATGTCATTATGAGGCCTTACTCAAAGGGGTGGACTGAGGGAAGCTGAGGGAGGTGGAATTAAAGTTCAACAGCTGTAAAGACCTAACACAAGACCACTTTCCTGGTTTGTAATTTACTCATGCTGAGGCAAGTCCATGAACAGGCTATGGACATCGATCACTGAGCAGCCTCACTTCTGTTGATACTGTCTTCCCCTCCTGTTGAAATGCAGAACCAGGCAAAGAATGAGGATCAAGACTGAAGGATTCTCTCTTTGGGAGAAGCTAAGTCAGTGGGATGTTGATGGCCAGAAGGGGAGGTGAGAGAGATGCTTTTTGCCCCCTGCAGTGGCTGCTCTTAAGGTGTAAGCCATCGAGGCACGGGAGAGCGCGTCGGTAGATGGACCTGCGGCCAGCAGGATGGTGCCCAGCCCTTCTCTGGTACTCCTGCCAAGGCTTTAAAAAGCAGGGAGCTGCTCTGCCTCCTCAGACAGGGTGGGCAGCCCCTGCACCCAGCCTCCCATGGTACTGAGCACCTCTAAGTCACTCTTTAAAGTGATGTGGATCTTTCTTCTCTCTCCAGAGATGCACAGTAATGTTTTCCCATAGCAGCAGGCTTTCCTGTGCTTTGGGGTCCATGAGCCCCTATGTCTAGTGTGTTACACTGATTTTTTTTTCTCTTTTAAGTCCTTAGCCAACTCTATTGTTTTTTTCAGTATTTTGGTGCTTTTCATGCTGCCTTTCATAACCCGAATACCATATATTTAGCTTATGTGTTATTTTGTTTTACCTAACACTCTATATTATGAACCATTATACTGTTAACTTGAAAAATTTGCAGCAGTACTGAAATCTTGAGACAATCTTTGCTGTATTTCTGAACTTAGTTATAGAAACTGCTAATAAAATGTAGCTTAGTGACTGTTTCTCCAGAAGTATGATATATAATAATGTCTCAAATATATGTTGGTCTCATTTCTCAATAATATTTTTCAACTTGGGAAATGTGTTTCCCAGTAGCTTTGTATTTTGTCCACTAGAGTTCATTACGGGAGGCTGGGGAACTCCTGCAGTTTGTAGAGAATTTAGTTATCAATCCTGCAAAGCACTGATGATTTGGATATTGTAATCCTGCAGAGTACTAGAGTTAAATAGGAGATACTTTTAGTCCATTAAAGATTTTTCTTGAATCATATTGATAATTGATTTCTGTCTCTAGTACCACACACCTGACTTAATCTGTAGATCTTACTCTTAAAATTTACTCTAAATCTTACAGGTTTACACCGTGTAAATGAGTATTAGTATATTTTTTCTTTTTTTTTTCTTTTTTTTTTGTGAAGTGAACCTGAAGTGGTCCCCAGTTATTTAGGAGGCCAGACTTCTTGAGTATATCTACTGCCAAACCTTCATAGTAGCTGTGTGCGGGCAATTTTTCCCCAGCAGAAAAGTAAAATACTGTAAGATACATTTTAACCCAGTGCAATGAAAAGTGTTGTCCCTAAACATAGTACTGAATTGACTCCTAGTTTTCCTGAGATATATACCAGAGGGCTTTATGTCACATCCTTGTTCAATTTCTGTATGTTATTTCAAGTCCTCTCCTACTTGTGGTGCTGAGTTTTTAATTCTGAAACACCACATTAGAGAGTGTCTTCCCACCTCTGCCTACCAGGAAGAAAGTCTCCAACCTTTTTTCTGTTAGTACTGCTGTTTCCACCCCCTTTCCTAGCAGTGTCTGAGATGTGAGTTTCATGTGAAATTCTATGTGGGATTAATTGACAGTATCATTAAGTCAGGTTAGTCGACAAGTTCAGCGTCTCTTCCCACACTGTGTCTGTGTCAGCCCTGACAAGGTTCCCCGAGTTGCCTGCAGTTCTTGCTGTGTCCTGTCCAGGCCCAAGGCTTTGTTCTGCTCCTTTTGCCTCCCTTCTGCCCGTTCCCTTGCTAGCTGCTGCCCAGCCTGTCTTCCTGTGAAGCTGTGTCCCTTGGCTCAGCTCATCCACCTCTGCGTTCCCCTTGCTGCAGCTGTGAGCCAGCTTATTCTGAACTGTCCCTTTACAAATATGCTCAGTCTGAATATACAAATGGATTGTCCTTATTTTTTTTTTCTTCCAGAGGAGAATAAACAGCTATCACTCATTCACTGATTTCCATGAATTTTATGCTTTAGCGTCAGCTCTGCAAAATATTTCTAGGATATGGGTATGAGTTGTTCTATTGAGACCAAACTAGGCTTGGCAATGAATGAGCAGGATGCTGGGGCAGCACTGGACTTACTGCTTCTTTGCAAGGAATGAGAAATCTCCCCTGGTTCCTTGCATCTTCTTTCAGCAGTGAGTCTTCAGTAGCTGGTCCACCCTCCCTTCCCCACACCAAATGACCTTTCTTCTAGGAAAATTTCACCAGTGCATTTGTACTACAAAGCGCCGATGGACAAGTTCTTGGGTGGATGCACCTGAACAACTGCATGGGCATAACTGAAACAAAATATAGTGCTCAGCCTGCTTTCTGTGCAAATATGAGTGCAAAGATGCAAATTGTCCATGGCACTGTCTGGTGGCCGCAGAAGTCCTGCAGATGTGTGTTAGGAGCCAAGCAATAAAGTGCCAAAAGCCAACACATAAAAATGAGTCAATAATCACCAGCACATCTCATGGAAAATATTTTAGGTTTTGACTGTGCCTTGCTAGGGCAGACTGTAGGTAACCTGCTAGTTTGACACTGGTGATTAGTGCTTTCTCCTGCATACAATGTCTAGGTGCCAATGTGAATCCTCACTGATGACACATCTTTCACCAACAGCAGAATAACCACGTTGAGGGTAGCAATTAGCAAATATTATGCATTTGAGTGTGCTTACAGTAGCCAAGAAAGGCTGTTCTTGGTGTCATGTCAGTCTCAAAAATGAAAATGCACTTGGTGTAGTGATATGGCAGAGAGTAGGCGGAGATGATCTGTGTGCCACCACCCCATTCTTTTTCTCTGCCCAATGACTCAGAATCATGTTGCATTAGTTGGATGGGCAACAACCAAGGAAATCCATTTGGGCTAATAAAGAGATAAAGAGAGGGCTCAGAACAGAAAATACTTTGTCATTCCCAAGAGCAAATCTATATTTAAAAAAACTCCCAAACCTGTGTTGCAACCTAGACAGTTGAAAGAACTCTTAGTTTTTTGGGGTTTTTTTTTTTTGGTTTTTTTGGTTTTTTTTGGTTTTTTTTTTTGCAAGATGGGAGATTTTGGGAAACAAGCTCTTTGTCAGGAAACCCTTCCCTGTCAGTTGCATCTTCTAGGAAGGGCAATGCAGCAAGAACCATTAATAAAAGCAGTGAATAAAAATGGAAGATTTACTTCTAGTTTCACTTAGGTGGCTTTCCACTAGATGCCCCCTAGATCCAAAGATGAGAATAAGCACATTTCAGTGTTGCCAATACAATACCTGGATTGAAGGAACATCTCATTGCAGGCAATTTGCAATATAGTCCTGGATTTCATGTGAGCTGTGATAGCCGCCTATGTGCACTTGGTTGGGATCTGCCAATCAGCTTTGTGTTCTTTGGGCTCAAGTGCTGAAGTTCTGCTTCATTTCTGCTGACTTGGTTTGGAAAAGAGTGGGGAAAGAGCTGAAGGGACAAGAAGGGGCAATATATGTCTTCTCCATTTCGGGAGAAGAAAACATTCTTTTGAATACACAAGAAGAAACTGCTGAGAAACATGGGGAGGGAAGGACTAAAACAGAAGAAAAATAAAGTTGGTGTAGGTGTTTTACAATGAATTCCCATTCTTATGTCTGTTTTGCCCACTTGTTTTCTGACTTCACGTATTTTTTTATTTGTTGGCATCTCATGTATGTCAGGAAAATGAATATTTCCAAAGGCTGTATATTTATATTTGCTAGTATTTACAGATATATCCAAATAGGATTCAACAAAACCTCTAAGCAGTCAACCTGTTTGTTACTGCCACTAAAACATAAGAGCTTGTAAAATGCACCATTTAAAGACGTATATTGAAGAGATTCAAAAAATGGAATATATGCTCTAAAGATAGCACTAGCTTTTCTCTTAAGTTTTATTACTGTGTTGAAGTGTTAGAGGTGGAAATCCAAATGAAAATCAGTGTTGATGAGGAATTCAAATTGGCTGCTGCTGGTTTTCAGTTTGGAAACTTCATGGAATGTACCATACCAGTATTTCATTAGTTAGCTCAGTATATGCAAGGTTTGTATGAAAGTACAAATTTTTATTATTGGCTCCATTATCTTGTTGTGTCTCTATCCTTCCACATCTTTTAAAAATTAACACAAAATGCTACCACAACAGAGTAACTTTTGCACACAGCTTGTGGGATTGGCTGCTCTGAATGACAGACAACTGATCGTCAGACTCTGTGGGCTTAGAAAATTAAGGGCTGTGGTCTGAAGGGAACTCTTCCCTCCATTTTCCTAACTCCCTGTTTCAGTAACCAATATCTGCTGGTTTGTTTTTGGTGTCTCTGTGATGCCTGTATGAGTGGTCAGTATTTTCAGTTGTCCCAAAGTACTGCACATTATGAAATATCTCTGGTGCCATTGAATGCTGTAGTGTGACCTGGAGGTCAGATCCTGTAACTTGAACTGGCTTCAATATTCTTTTAGGGGCCTGAATTATCCCCCTTGAGTCATTGTAGATGTTTAAAAGAAAGACTGAAGTGTTACAGCTGAGTTGAGCCAAACTGATTTTTTTTTTTTTTTAATGCTGAGATATATTGTTTTTTCTGCTTTGTGTTTTTCTGAGTAGCTCTTCCTTCCTAGAGTTTATAGTGTGGATTTTGCATCAAATCCCAGCAAAGAAGATTTTGCAAAGTGAAACCTACTTTTCATTATTCAGGCTTCTTTAAAGAAAAGTGATGTTATTACTGAGCCAAATCACATAGAGGAAGTATGTTTTCCTCTAGGAAAACTTCTGATGTCGGTAAGCTTATGTGTGTGTCCCTGTTTAAAAGGCAAGTGCCTGTGTGCAGGTCTCATGCATCACTCATGCTCTAATATAATTTTTTCCCTTTGCCCTTCTGATTGAATGCTGGAGGCTTAGCATTTTCCACAGCCTTGAGGCAAGTTTAAATCCTTCTCCTTCTCTGGTCTCTAAAAAGCAGACTGTGGGTGATAGGAAGCATCTGATCTCCTTCGGGGCAGAATCACATCAACTAATCCACATTTGAAATATGAGACCTTAAGTTTTTGTTAGCTTTCTGCTAAGACTGACACTCCTTGGAGTAGAAATAAATGACAAATCTGCCTGCAAAATATCCAGCAGTTATCTGCTGAAGAATACGAGTCTCTCAGATACTTCTCAGCAGCTCTGCTGTAAGAGGTGACCCTTCTGCTGGAGGGTCCTCGTGACACTTCCCTTAGCTCAGTTCACAATCAATAGTTTCAAGTACATCAGAAGCAAGTTGAGACACTGCCCTGAGGAATTTCCATAAAATGGAAGAGAACCATTTGTGTGTTTGTGGCACATAAAGTCACTGAGTCCGAGTTGTGAAGTAAAGGTCTCAGTGACACTGAACAGTATTGGGAATTTCTGCCCAGAATTAAAGGAAGGGAGTGTATCTGAACTTTTAATTTCAAAATACTATGGCCATGAGTCAGCCAGCATCAGAAGAAAACCAACTTGGAGGCTTCTAACAACAACTAATATTATTGTGGCTTTATTTTATAGTTACACTGATTGAATGTGATGTACTGTACAAAATAAAGCTAGTCTTAGGCTACCAGGTGTACCATGGCATTCATTTGAGACATAACAACAAAAGTTTGCATGTGAAAAGTCTTAAAGTGATACTAAGGCAATGTTACCCACCTGACTGAGTCTCTTAGGAATTTAATGTTTTGCTGTTTCACATCTGGTTTCCATGCTGAGTACAATAAAATGAGTGCTGTCTTAATTATTCTGGGTCTCTGTTTGTAGGCTGACATGGGAAAAGAAAGGACTTTTAAGGGTGAACATTGTGCCAGAATTGATGGATGTGTGTAGGTCAGAGAGCTGCGAAGGGCTTTCTGGATTCAGGCCTGAGATCTGGCACCTTGCAAAGCTCAGCGTGGTGGTGGAAGCTTCCATGTGCTG